TGTCTATGATACAGACATACATGCCTGTTGCCTACGGAGTCCAGAAGAGGGCACTGGATTCCCTAGAACTGGAGTTACAGATGGCCATAAATTGCCATGTGGATTTAGGGAGTTTTAACTTGAATCCTCTGGAGTAACCAGATGTTGAGCCATTTCTCCAGCTTCTGAGACTTTTCCTAAATTCAAATTCTATTCATTTCCTATTTGTAGATTTCTGGGAACCATATCTTGGGCCAGGATTTATGACCATGTCTTATTTTGCTCAGGATTCAGAGTGGTGGTATAGGTTCATGAGGGAGTTAAGACAAATGGTGAGCTTAGTTAATCTTGCTAAAGTTGATCTTAATATGTGGTGTATTAAACTTACTCAGATACTGAAGTTGACAAAATATCTAATTCTTGTTTGACAATTATGCTTACAGCTTTCAAATTCTGCCTCCAGTACACTCGGAAGGCTGAGTTCCGCAAGCTCTGTGACAACTTGCGAATGCACTTAGCGCAGATTCAGCGCCATCATAACCAAAGCACAGCAATCAATCTTAATAATCCAGAGAGCCAGTCCATGCATTTGGAAACCAGACTTGTTCAGTTGGACAGTGCTATCAGCATGGAACTGTGGCAGGCAAGTTAACTGTTAGCTTTGTTCCATTCCCTCTCCACCTTGAGTATTAGTATTTACTCAATACTGGTTAATTTCAGTGGGTAATGTGAGAATTTAAGATTGTCTGACAGTAGGAAGAGTTCTAGACAGGAAGTTCAGAGGTCAGTTTTTAATCACTTGCAAAATCTGGACTAAACTATGAAATCTTCATTCTATGCCACAACAAAACCCTGCATCATGGCCACTGCTCAAAATGTGGTTTTATAAGTGGTCTCTGATTGGTACCATTCTGAGCTGGGTGGTCTGATGAAAGAAGTATGGAGAAAAATATTAAAAGATGCAGGTATTTTGTTCCTGTTGCTGCTGGTGCTGTTGTTTCCTCCCCTCAATACTGTTTGGTTTTAGTGCCAGGGATTAGTACCTGTTTATATGCGCATGCCCTTCTGTGCTAGGTGTCAAACCCAGAGCCTTGTCTTGACTTGGTAGGCCAGCACTTTAATGAGCTAAATCTCCCAACCTCGTGGTGTCAGTAGTTAAACTTTGAAATGGCAAGCATGTGCAACACCACTGATTACATCTCTAGCTTCTACAAACAGTATTAAATAGCAGTTTCCTCATAATTTTGTGTTAATCTGATATTACATTTTAACTTTATGAGCATTTTTTGATGATGAGAATTTCAAATTACATGTCCTTTTCTCTGTTTGGAGAAGTGCTGCTTTAGCACCATGCATGGTATGTATATACTGCATTTTAGAGATGGCATTGGTGATAAAAAGCTTCCTGGCCCTTTCCCCCTTAGTTTATAGTCACATCATTTTGTGGCTTTATAACTTGAGGACTTTCATATTTATTTAACATAAAACCCTATTGAAATTACAAAGGATTAACTAAAATATCAGCAGTTTTTAGTTAAAATGCTTTAACTAAGAGTTAAAGTAATAAATAAAAGTAAAAATGTGATTTAATTTTCTGCTTTTGCTCATAGTCTTTTTCCTTTTTTATAGGGACACCTGTCTTAAATTACTACATGTAGAGGGCAAGCAAACATGATTATATTAGGAAAAGTATCTGGGACAGCCAAGACTGCACAGAGAATCCCTGTCTTGAAAAAAAAAAAAAAACAACAGAGAAATTTAAAGACAGCATTTTTGTAATTACAAATATTTCTCAGATTTATGAGACAAAAACCATGTTAGGCATTTTATTTTCTATTATTTATAGTACGTTTTAATTTCAAGAAAGTGCTTGATATTCGATCCTTTTTAAATGAAATGATGAAGTGATTAATCTGTACATTTTAGGAAGCCTTCAAAGCTGTGGAAGATATTCATGGGCTATTTTCCTTGTCTAAAAAACCACCTAAGCCTCAGTTGATGGCAAATTACTATAACAAAGTCTCAACAGTGTTTTGGAAATCTGGAAATGCTCTATTTCATGCGTCTACACTTCATCGTCTCTATCATCTGTCTAGAGAAATGAGAAAGAATCTTACACAAGATGAGATGCAAAGGTAAATATGTTGTAATTGGGTGGTAATGAAATTAAACTTCTATGTGGCAGTGTGGTCTAAGCCATGGTATCTTAGCCTCTGGGCGTTTTGGACTGTTGTGGTGCATGGCGAGTACTTAATAGGATGTTAGCGGTATCCCTAGACTCTGCTCCTTAGGGGCCAGGAGCAATCTCTAATTGTAACTACCAAGTATCTCTGAGACATGTTCTCCTTGGAGATTATTCTCCTGAACCCAGAAAACACTGGAAACCCAATTGAGAAAATCGTATATTCACAGAAGTAATGCTAACATGTGAGCCTTCTATTCATATATTGGTAGATTCTTTTAGCACAAGTTGTATAATTAGGTAACTCCATCAAGTTTATTTCTTCTTCCTTGATTATAAAACAGTAACTATAGCATAAAGCACTTGACTTATGTTAGGTTATATCCTGGTAAACCTATTGTAAGTTCAGAATGTGCTGAGTCAGGATGTATTACACTGACCTACTGTCAACAGTGTAATATACTGGGAAGAGGTCTGCTCACTCTTAAAATTGCATGGCTCACTAGGAGCTGTGTGTATCATTACTGCTGCTGCTTTTTTTCAAGACTATTAACACCTTACATCACTAGCCTGGGGAAAGATAAAAGTTTCTATTTCTTTTGTACTGTGGTAAAGATATTGCTTAAAAAAAATCATGTTTCTTAACATGTGAATCATAAAATGGAGACTATTTGGGAGATAATCATGAGAACACATTTCAAAGATAAAGGAGTGTGCAACTTGTCGATTGTTAAAAAGAATCATAGTATAGGTCGAATGTGGTGGCACATGGATAAAACTAGACTAGCTTAACTAGGAAAAAAGGAAAATCCACAACAAACCCTATCACATAGCTTGTTTCAGTTGCTTTATATTTTCTTTTTTCTCTTTATCAAGCTAGGAATTGAACCCATTATCCTGCACAAACTAGATAAGTCACATGTCCCCTCTTTTCCTTGTATTAGTAAACTTTTTAAATATGTATCTGTTTTTCTTAGTTTTGTAGAATACAAAATCAGTCAAATGGTTTTCCTTAAAAGAGTTCATACTGTTCTTATGAATGCTGTAATACGGGTTAGCAGCGTCAGGCCATTTCCTCCTGTGTGTTACTGAGACTCCTGAGCTCCTGTGTCCTTAGCGTTCTAAAGTGCAGGAAAGTAAAAAGTTTTCTTTCCCTGTCATTTTTTTCTTAGTTTATAAAGCTACCTTTAATTATTTTGGTAAGGAAGTTTGTCATTACTGCTTTTGGGCCACATTCATTGTGTTGATGAGATTTAGTTTACAAGGATTCATTTCTTCAAAGTTCAGTTTTCTAATACTGTACTATGCTGGAATATGCTGGAAGTATATATTCTGTCTGCCATATAATAAATAATTAAAGAAGCACATTTATAATCTCAATAAATTAAACTTTGTTTACCACAGAATGTCAACTAGAGTCCTTTTGGCGACTCTTTCCATACCTATTACTCCTGAGCGAACTGACATTGCTCGACTTTTGGATATGGATGGTATTATAATTGAGAAGCAGCGACGCCTTGCAACACTGCTAGGTCTTCAGGCCCCACCCACACGAATCGGCCTTATTAATGATATGGTTAGTATAAGTATAAGCATTAATTGCTCTGGAGAGAAAACTTTGTGGTAAGTTTTAATTCATGATTAAATACTGGGAGTTCAGATTCATTGTCAGACTTCTGATGTTGGACAAGGACCCACTGATGAAATGGGTGGATAGCTTGTTCATTTGAGGAGACTTATTAAAGACCTTATCATCAGGGTATGTGATGAGTAAAGCATATTTTCAGTTACACCTGAAAGTGTCTACATGATACTGGTTCAGATCATCATCTCAGATCCCAGTGCACATCAAAACTACTGGTACACTGAATAGGGTATGGTTGTATTTGCATATAATCCATACATAACTTCATGTAAGATTGGAATATAATCTCCAAATTACTTAGAATACTTAAATTTATACCACGTTGTACAATTGTTATGTTGTTTAGATGATAAGGAGAAAGCATTTAGGACAGGTGTAATTTTTTTCTTGAGTATTATCTAAATTTGATTGTGTATGTGGAACCTGATGATACAAGGGACCAGCACTGTTCTGTTAATAAACGCTGAGTTTTCCAAATTTGACTCTGTACACAATAGAGTCGCCCTACTAATTATTGTGATACTTTGTGTATAAGAATAATTTGTTGCGGGACAGTGGTGGCACACTCCTTTGATCCCAGTAGATGGGAGACAGAAGCAGGCCAATCCCTGAGTTTGAAGCCAACTCTGGTCTACAGAGCAAGTTCTAGGACAGCTATAGCTCCACAGAGAAGCTCTGCTTTGAACTTGCCCCCCCCCCCCCATGTAAGCTCTGTTACTTTGCCTTTTTGGCTATGTGATTTGTGCTGTCCAGCCTTTGTAAATATTGTATGTTACCTAATATTCTCTTTTCAAGTGTTTTTTTGGGTCGTTAATTATAGGTAGAAACAATATGGGGTAATTAAGTAATGGTTTGGATTGTATTGGATTTGGTAAATTGATAAGGAACTGGGGTCAGTTAATTTTCTATTTTTATTTGTAGTCCAAAATCTCTGCTAGAAAATTTCCTTTAGCGGTTAAACGTTTTGCCTTTCTTACTATAGGTCAGATTCAATGTGCTACAATATGTTGTCCCAGAAGTAAAAGATCTTTACAACTGGCTGGAGGTAGAATTCAACCCACTAAAACTCTGTGAGAGAGTCACAAAGGTAAGCTTTGGCATGGGTGGTTTTTGTCTTTACCATAATGTTGGCATTATTGCAGTTGAGCATTGTATTTTGTCAAAGAAAGAAGCCCTCCCCCCATGTGTTGAAAAGTGCACATTTTATTGTCTTTTTTCTTCATATCAAGAGAAAAGATATTTCTGATGTGCTAAACAAACTTTTGGAGGTAAATTAGCAACATGACTATTTCTGCCACTGTTGTCAGTCACCTTCAAACAAGTTTTGATAGTGTTTGATGATTTTTGTATCTTTATATTATATACTATTTGTATATATATATATAAGAAGTTGAAAGAATCTGAACTATTTGTGTATAAACTATATTTTTTCTCAATTTAATTGATTTTATAGGTATTAAATTGGGTTAGGGAACAACCTGAAAAGGAACCAGAATTGCAACAGTATGTACCACAACTACAGAACAATACCATACTCCGCCTTCTGCAACAGGTAAAATGCAAGCAAAAGCTTTATGGAGAAAGTGAAATTTCTGTCCTTGACTTTGTGTCACTATTGCAAATATTTGTCTGCACACACTTGCTTTGTATATGTGCACACAAGTATGTGAAGGCCAGAGGTGGACATTGCCCGTCTTTTCTCTGTTAACTGTTACTCTCTAGCTTGTATTTTGAGATTGTCACTGAATCTGAAGCTGACAAATAGCTAGACTGACTGGCGCTGGAAAGCTCCCCTCTGTAGCCCCTTTATTCTTTATTTTGAAGATAAAACTGAAAAAAAAAAGTTTAGATTTACTTAAGTGAAAGCCATCCCAATTTCCACTCCTGCTCAATTTCTGTATTTGTAATTTTGAAACAGACTCAATGACTTAACAACTGTTCTTCCCTTCTCTTTATTTGCCAAATACTACCGAGTTTCCTTAGGTGTTGGGTTGTAGTTGACCTCTTCTGCCCTACCCTCCATAGAGTCTGGCTGTTTACTCTGGCTATCTTGGAACTCATGTAGACCAAACTGGCCTTGAAATCAACAGATTGGCCTGCTTCTGCCTTCCAAGTGTGGCCCTGAGTTTTCCTTGCTAATATAGGGCTCCCGTATTCCTTTAAAATTTTACCTACATTATTTTTCATAGTCTGAAAGTTCTACTTACTCAGATAATAGTAACGACATCATCTATTTCTTGCCACTGGAACTCCTTTAGGGTTTCCCCATTAGAAAGTGTTAGAGCATCAAACAGTTAATATGCATATACCTTTGCATGTGAGTGAGACTCCTGCGGCATACGTTAGTCACACAGTTTATGTAATTAAATCTTTAGCAGCTCCTGAGAAGACTATATTAACAGCATCTTACCAGTAATGGTCTTTCCTTTTTTGCTTACACTGACTATTGGTATTTTTCTGTCATAGTAATTCAATGTCATAACTATGGTTGAGTGTTGGGAGTTTATTGGTGGTGTAAGTTCTTTGTACTTTATTTTCATTTGTTGAGGGAATACTGTTGCACATTTCATTGACCTGCTTTCTTCTGAATATGTGAGCAGTGTTATTTCTTATGTGCTATACAAATACTTGAAGGTTAATTAGCAGAGTAACTGTATATAGTAATGCTGCCAGTCTCCTTCAAACAAAAATAAACATTACAAGTATTTAGGGAAGTAGTAGGCTTTTATCTACAAATATGTGGCCATTTAATGATTTTTGACTTTATGAAACTGGGAATTCAGAAGATGGTTATGTATAATAAGTACAGCATATGATTCAGAGCCTTGGGAACTCCAGTTCCCATAGTCTACTGCTATGCTGAATTGCATGAACTTCAGTTTTTTACCTTTTCTGGACAGTGGTCATAATTTTTGCTTTCTCTAGCTACCATGAAATTGCGCATAAAAAGTGTGACTATATAGTAGCTCTTATTATTAACCCTGTTTTTTTTTTTTTTTTTTTTGTGCAGGTGGCTCAGATTTATCAGAGCATTGAGTTTTCTCGTTTGACTTCTCTGGTTCCTTTTGTTGATGCTTTCCAACTGGAACGGGCCATAGTAGATGCAGCCAGGCACTGCGACCTGCAGGTATGTGCTATATATAAGGAGGCACTGGTGGCCGGTTAGAAGGTCTTTGAAACTCTGCTTTTGATACAATAGTTTGAGTCTAATTAGTAAATTCTCATTGGTTTTCTATTAACTTTTTGGATGATAATTTTCTTCTCAAATGCAGTTGTAAGTTTAGGTTTGATAATTTAATTTTCAAAGGTTCGTATTGATCATACTTCTCGGACTCTGAGTTTTGGATCAGACTTGAATTATGCAACTCGAGAAGATGCCCCAATTGGCCCTCATCTGCAAAGTATGCCATCAGAACAAATAAGAAATCAGCTCACAGCCATGTCCTCAGTGCTTGCAAAAGCCCTTGAAGTCATCAAGCCTGCTCACATTCTGGTATGTGTTTTGAGGGGAATATGAGCTATAAAAGTTTTGAGGTACTTGTATATCTTTCACAATATGGTTTGAGATGAAATCTGTGGAAGAGATTTTATAATTTCACTGGTGGTTGAGATGCTTTTGTCAAGACAAGTTGTTGAACTGCCTTTCAATGGGTTATAATGGATATGTTATACAAAACAGCAGACAACATACACAAAAACCTTGGCCTAGTTGTTGAGGTGATTGTGTTCTTGCTAAATGATTGTTGGTGAGCTCTATCTTGTCTTGACACAATAAATTTGGAGCTGAGAACAATAATAGACTGGCAAATAGTGTTTTAGCTTGTGTCATTGCTAGTTTGAGAGCGAATAACTGTAGTGCTATAGTACTTGGATACTAGAACATTATCTTACTAAATACACATATTTGTGGAAAGCTAATATTTTACACTTATTTTTACTACTGCTGTCTAATACCAGGTCATAATTATAATCACTTTAAAAAATGTATTTGTTTTTGAAGCAAGAGAAAGAAGAACAGCATCAGTTGGCAGTTACTGCATACCTTAAAAATTCACGAAAAGAGCATCAGCGGATTCTGGCTCGTCGACAGACAATTGAGGAAAGGAAAGAGCGTCTTGAGAGTCTGAATATCCAGCGTGAGAAAGAAGAACTGGAGCAGAGGGAAGCGGAGCTCCAGAAAGTACGGAAGGCTGAAGAAGAGAGGCTGCGCCAGGAGGCAAAGGAGCGAGAAAAGGAACGAATTCTTCAGGAACATGAGCAAATCAAAAAGAAGACTGTTCGGGAGCGGTTAGAGCAGATCAAGAAGACAGAACTGGGTGCCAAAGCATTCAAAGACATCGACATTGAAGTATGTAGCACATCAGTCACTCATCAACACTTGGGCCCTCCAGGCAACACTCCCCTATAATTAAAATTAATCTTTAAAATTTGTAGCCAGGAGTTGGCAGGGGCAGGTGGACCAGGCAGGCTGGAATTCTAGGACAGCCAGGGTTATAGAGAGAATTCGTGTCTCAAATACATATAAGCTAAAATGTTTCTGTCTGAAATAAATATAAACTAAAATGTTGTAGTGACCATTCTGCTTTTGTGTTGCCATCAGGACCTTGAAGAACTGGATCCAGATTTTATCATGGCCAAACAGGTTGAACAACTGGAGAAAGAAAAGAAGGAACTTCAGGAACGCCTGAAGAATCAAGAAAAGAAGGTAAAAGAAAGGGTGGATTTTTTTTTTTTCCTTGAGGGTTTTGTTTTGTTTTGACTTTTTTTTTTTTAAAGTTTTTTTAGTTTTAATAAAAGTTCTCCAAATTGTCTTCTAAATGATCTTCCTGCCTAATGGGATTTTTAATCTTTTCACATGAGTTAAGTAGAGTTATTTTGGCTGGGTAGTGGTGGTGGTACATGCCTTGAATCCTTGCACCTGGGAGGTAGAGGCAGGTGGATCTCTGAATTTGAGGCTAGCCTGGTTCTAGAACAGTTGGAGCTACATAGTGAAACCTTGTCTCTAAAATCTTAAAAACAAAAGTTACTTTGTAAAACTGCATTTGCTTTCATACCATTCAGATTGACTATTTTGAAAGAGCCAAGCGTTTAGAAGAAATTCCTTTGATAAAGAGTGCTTATGAGGAGCAAAGAGTTAAAGATATGGACCTGTGGGAGCAACAGGAAGAAGAAAGAGTAAGCTTCCATTTCATTGTGGTATTATATACTATATAAACTAAGTTATAAGTCTGCCAATGAAACAGTTTTTAAATTTTTTTGCTAGAAATTGTGCTTTTAACAATTGCTTACTAATAGTTTGGAAGGAGAAATATTCACAGTAAAGATTTAATATGAAACTGTAAGTCACAGCCTTGTGTGCACGTACACGAGAGAAGGGCCTTGCTGTGGGGCCCTGTGGCACCTGTAGTCAGTGTAGTACCTGGAGACTTATAGGCCTTTTGTTGTTCTTCCTGCTTTATAACAAATAAATTGGAATTTTTTTGATAATTCTCAAACAGAAGTGTTCAGACTAAGTAGAAGTAGAAAATGCTGAAGGTCAAGTAGCACTTGGGACAGTTTGGAGTCTTCTGTATTTTCGTTGGGCTGAGAAGAAAATCTGACAATTTGCCTTAACTTCCAGTATAATTAAATAGTTTTGCTCAAAACTCTCACTAATGTCCTCAGACTCTTATCCCTGCCTTCTATTTTGGGGGTCTACTGGGATACTGTTACCACAAGATACAATGGGGAAGGAGCAGTTTCTCAGTTTTAAAGAATGTCTATTAGAATCCTTTTGGGGTCAATTAGGAAAACAAATGCTTTGGAGATGACTCTTCTGTTGTGTACTTTAGATTACTACAATGCAGCTAGAACGAGAAAAAGCTCTGGAACATAAGAACCGAATGTCACGTATGTTGGAAGACAGAGATCTATTTGTGATGCGACTCAAAGCAGCCCGGCAGTCTGTTTATGAGGTGAGATTCTTGTGCTTAAGGGAACCTTAATTTGTGAGCTTTGAGGGTTTCTTTTCATTCATTCATTCATTCATTCATTGATTCATTCGTGTGTGTGTGTGTGTTTAAGGATTCTTTCTCCCTTAACATTGGCAAGATCTGTCTTGAGTTAAAGTAGTTATTCGATATTTCAGTAGGAAGAGTTGGGACATATTTTAATCATCTCAAGAAATGTTTCAAAGATGAAAATTGATTTTTCTCATTTGATAGAAGTGTGGGTTTTGGGGATGGGGCCTGTTTGTCATGCTGTGTGTTTTGACACTGAACCTCTTGAAGGAGGCAGAATTTCAGGCACACCATGGCTAACTCCAGATTCATGTGTGCTTTTAAGTTCTGAGTTTTTTTTTTTTTTTTTTTAAACTCTGATTCAGAAATGAACTAGATCAGGGCTGGGAATGGTGGTGTACACTTTTAATTGCAGCACTTCGGAGGCAGAGGCAAGCAGATCTATCTGAGTTGGAGGCCAGCTTGGTCTACCTAGTAAGTTCATGACTAGAGAGAACCTGTCTCCAAAAAAAAAAAAAAAAAAGGAAAAAAAAAAGAAAGGGAACTAGAACTAAATCAAAGATGTTTGTTAAGTTCTTAGATAGTCATTTTCTTTGTTATAAATAAATAAAATGTGACTAGGTTTTTTCCCCCCCTTTTTTCTTCTTTTGTTTTGAGGTAGGGACTGAAACTGGGAGTTGAACCTATGGCCGCAGATGTGCCAGACAAAGCGCTCTCTCAGTCCAGTGTTTAGCTTTAGTTAAGTGTAATTCAGTATTTTAAAACTTGACACACACACACACACACTGATAAAATTTCTTTACCTTTTAAGAGATTCTTCTTTTGTCTTTCCTTGGTGGCCACTTTCTATGGCTTTTAGATCTTGTGAGCTTACACACGTAAAAAAAGTATATTCCTGAAGCCGGGCAGTGGTGGCACACGCCTTTAATCGCAGCACTCGGGAGGCAGAGTCAGGCAGATCTCTGTGAGTTTGAGGCCAGCCTGGTCTACAAGAGCTAGTTCCAGGACAGGACCCAAAAAGCTACAGAGAAACCCTGTCTCGAAAAATCCAAAAAAAAAAAAAAAGTATATTCTTGATTTATAATTTGGACAAAATTGACCTTTGTGGGGGAATATATCCGTTTAATTCACAGGAAAAATTGAAACAGTTTGAAGAGCGGTTAGCAGAAGAAAGACATAATCGTCTGGAAGAACGGAAAAGACAACGAAAAGAAGAACGGAAGATAACTTACTACAGAGAAAAGGAAGAAGAAGAACAGAGGAGAGCAGAAGAACAGATGCTAAAAGGTATCCGTTTAGATAAACGGCATGGTAATTGTTAGATGTCCTATTTTACGATCTTATTTAGAAAACAAAGGAATCTGCATAATTGGTCTCTACTATACAGATAACCTAATGCATTATTTATAGCTGCTGTTTCCTCTATCAACCTATACATACTTTTTTCCCTCTTGGTATTTTATTATCCTGTATTATTAATGATTATTACATATGTGGTTATATACCTGGTATCACATATTAAGAATTTGTTGTAATTTGGTTTCTGTTGCTATGCTAAAACACTGACCAAAAGCAGCTTGGGGGATGAGATGATTTATTTGGCTTCCATATCATAGTCCATCACTGAGGAAGTGAGAGAGTCTGCTAGTGGACTCAGGGTAGGAACCTGGAGACAAACTGACTCAGACCA